CATTGTACATTGGTGTGCTGTGCTGTGCAGGCGGAGGTGAATTTCTTGGGGAAGTATCGTCATCCAAATCTTGTTAAGCTGCTGGGATATTGCTGCGAAGAAAATCAATTCCTTCTTGTTTATGAATATATGCAAAAAGGAAGCTTGGAAAACCACCTTTTCAGAAGTAAGTAAATGATCTTTAACTTGTAAACCAAATGTCTCATGTTCGAATCCCCACGACATCATAGTTGTGTTGTGTGTGAGAGAAATCTCTCTCTCCCATTTAGTTTAAACTATCGGTTCTAAAAAAAAAAATAATAATAATAACATTAATTGAATTGGGCATGCAAGTTTTTCGTCTATTGCATTTTCATTTGGAATTCAAAAAATTGCTAGCATTAATTAATAACACAATTAAGTTTTTATTTTTTGTTGATGCATGAATTCTGCAGAAGGTCAAGAACCACTTGGATGGGAATTAAGACTTAAGATAGCAATTGGAGCTGCACGAGGTCTTGCTTTTTTGCACACCTCAGAAAAAGTCATCTACCGTGACTTTAAGGCCTCCAATATTTTGCTGGATCCGGTACCCTCTCGTTGTCATTCTTCTTTTTTAATTTAATTTAATTTTTGTTAATTTTGTTTTGGTTGATTATTGATTTTTTTTCTTTTCTTTCTTTCTTCTTGGTAATTATGAAATCTAGGTCTACAATGCAAAACTTTCAGATTTTGGGCTGGCAAAGGTGGGCCCAATAAATGGCAACTCCCACGTAACCACACGCGTCATAGGAACATATGGATATGCTGCACCTGAATATGTCGCAACTGGTAATATCACAACTTCTACCGTAAACATTCTTAATCATTTGAATTATAAATTTTCTTCGAAGTAAAAGATACTATGAGTTTTACTTCAAAATTTTCCTAACTAGCAATAAGGCAGTCACTTTTATTACCAGACCAAGATTTACTAAATCTATTGGAGACAAGTCTCAATTGACTTTCATTTTGCAAACATCACATTTTTTTGTTTTTTTGTTTTTTTCTAGTTCCTTGATTCAATGGGAAAAGGAAACTCTACGTTGGCCTTGTCTTGGTCAACAATAGACGTTTTCCACACAAATATATTCAGACTTTAGGGATCACCTGATCTTATGGGTTAAGCAAGCAAGTCTTCTATTCTATTGCTGGCCAAGTAAAAGTCTTCAATTTTGTGACTTGACTTTCAAATGATTTTTAGTTGTACGAAAATGTCATACGAAAACCTCATGCATATCGTGTCCTGTCCACCATTACAACATTGAATTCACTCAAGTTCTTAACATTTTAATCCAAATTCATACCTATATCTACTCTTAAACTTATTTATTTTCAACAATTTTTGGATTCAAATAATCCAAATTCAAACTTCTTGGTAATATATATATATATATATATATACCTGGTGCAAAAATCTTGCAATGAATAATTCTTTGTGATATTAA